ACCTGTCAGAATAGCTAAACTCAAAAACACCAATGATAGACTATGCTGGAGAGGATGTGGAGTGAGGGGAACACTCATCCATTGTTGGTGGGAATGCAAACTTGTGCAGCCACTGTGGAAATCAGTGTGGAGGTTTCTCAGGAAACTGGGAGTCAACCTCCCTCAGGACCCAGCAATTCCACTCTTGGGAATATACCCAAGAGATGCCCTATCATACTACAAAAGTATTTGTTCAACTATGTTCATAGCAGCACTATTTGTAATAGCCAGAACCTGGAAACAGCCTAGGTGCCCCTCAATAGAAGAATGGTTAAAAAATGTGTGGAACATATACACATTAGACTTTTATTGAGTGGTAAAAAACAATGACATCTTGAATTTTGCATGCAAATGGATGGACATAGAAAACGCTTTACTGAGTGAGGTAACCCAGACCCAAAAAGCAGAATATGGTATGTACTCACTCATAAGTGGATTCTAGCCATAGTTAAAGGCCTTTGAGTCTATAATTTGTGATCCTAGAGAAGCTAAATAAGAAGGTAAACCTGAAGAAAATCATATAGTTATCCTCCTGGATATTAGAAGTAGGCAAGATTGCCTGGCAAATTTGGGTGCACAGGGGGTGAGGAGGTGGAAGTAAGGAGAGATGGTTAGGGAGAGGGGAGAGGGGGAGGATTGGGGATGGCTTGGGGGAATGGGAGGGGGGAGGGAGGTAGGTTGGTTATGGGAGCAGGGAAGTTTATATCTCAAATAAGGGAGCCATTTTAGGGTTTGCAAGAGACTTGATTCTAGAGGGGTTCCCAGGCCCAAGGAGAGGTCCCCAGATTGTACTCTGGGCAGCAGAGGAGTGTGTGCCTGAACTGGCCTTGACCCATAACCATACTGATGAATATTTTGCATGTCACCACAGAACCTTCATATGGCGAAGGATGGAGATAGAGACAGAGACACATATTGGAACACTGGACTTAACTCCCTAGGTCCAAATGAGAAACAAAGGGAGGGAGATCATGAGCAAGGAAAGCAAAATCAGAGGGGGCCTTCATCCGAGGATGGATGGAGATAGAGACAGAGACCCACATTGGAGCACTGGAAGTCAGGACTGTGAAGGGTGCGCTCACCCACTGATACAAGGGGACTGATCGAATGAGAGCTCACCAAGGCCAGCTGGACCGGGACTGAACGAGCATGTGATCAAACTGGATTCTCTGAATGTGGTTGACATGGGGGCTGACTGAGCCCCCAAGGTCCAAATGAAGACTGAGAAGCCATTGACAATGGCACTGGGTCTTGTTTAGTCTGCATGGACTGGCTTTTTGGGATCCTGGCCTGTTTGGATGCTCACCTTCCTGGACCTGGAGGGAGGGGGAAGGAACTTGGATTTCCCACAGGGCAGGAAACCCTGACTGCTCTTGGGAACGGTGAGGGAGGAGGAGAGGGAGTGGTTGGAGAGGGAGGGTATTGGGAGGAGGCGAGGAAGTGGAAAGAGTGTTTTCGGATACTTGAATAAACAAGTCTAAAAAAATAAAAAATAAAAAAATAGAAGTATCATTTACCCAGATTTCCTCAGTGACAACATTTTATGTAGACACAAGTTTATCAAATCTTGATTATGGACATGGGTGTGATATTATTAGTTAAATGATAAGCATGCTTTAAATCTAACCATCTTTTACTTATACTCATAGCTGGTCTTTTTCTTTTTGTTTTGTAGTTCTCTGCAGTTTTATCATGTTTCATTTCACACAGACATCACCAGAATCAGCACACAGAAGTATTCCAAACTATCTCTTATACCCAAAATATTAAGAACTTCCTTGACCCCTGGAAATAAGTGTTCGTGCTCCATCTGTGTAAGTTTCTCTTATCTAGGCAATGTTATATAAAGGAATTATAGATATTTTGAAATTGAACTTGTTTTTCACTCAGTGAATTTCACTTGATTGTTGTTTCATCTTTATTATTGCTGAATAATGCTGCATTTGTGAATTATCATAAGTTGTGTACTCAGTCATCTGTTGAAAGATATTTAGGTTATTTTCATTTTTAAGTCATTGTGAATAAAGATGTATTGAACATTCATAAAACAGCTTTCAGAGAACACAAGTCTTCCTGCTTCCAGAGTAAATGCCTAGGGGAAGTGGCAACAAATATCTGTAATCCCAGCATTCAAGAGGCAGAGGCAAGCACTCCGGCAAACATTGTGGCATTTCCTCAAAAAATTAAAAGTATTACATGACCCAGCTATACTACTCCTTGGAATATATGCAAAGGACTCTATGACTTACCACAGAGGTACTTGCACATCCATGTTTATTGCTTCATTATTCACAGTAGAAAGAGAATAGAACCAGCCTAGATGCCCACCCTCAGATGGTCGCCATCAGATGAATGGAAAATGAAAATGTGGCCCAATACACAATAGGATTTTACCCGGCCTTTAAGAAACATAAAATCATGAAAATTTCAGGGAAATTGGTACAACTGGAAAGTATTTGAGGTGACCCACGCTCAGAAAGATAAATGTTCTCTCTCATACACATCGCCCAACTTTAAATGCTCGTGTGTATATAAATAAGGTGTTGTAATAGTGGATACAGACTATAAGATTAGATAGAAGACCATAGGAGATGAATATGATGTGCTGAGAAGGGGAGCAGAAGACCAAAGAACTGAAAAGCAGAAAGGAGGCTACTAAATGTGAGGAGGAGGAGGAATAGGGAAGAATTGGAGAAAAAGGAAAACAAATTTTGTTTGAAAATTGGTGTAGTGAAACAATTCTCTGTAAATTAATGATAAGTAAATAATAAAAATGAATGAATGAATGAATAAATAAATAATCAAAAAAAGAAGAGGGGGAAATAAGACTAACAAAGGTGACTGTGAGTTTGACACCAGTATTGGTTACATAGGGAGAACCTATATTAAAACACCAAAAACAAAGAGTCAATTCCCAGTAATATCACTGTTTAGCCACACAAAAACTAAGTATTTTGCTTTATAAATAATGATGCCCCTCAATGGAAGAATGGATAAAGAAAGTGTGGAATATATACACATTAGAATACTACTCAGCAGTAAAAAACAATGACATCTTGAATTTTGCATGCAAATGCATGGAAATAGAAAACAGTATCCTGAGTGAGGTGACCCAGCCCCCAAAAGATGAATATGGTATGTACTCACTCATTAGTGGATTCTAGCCATGATTAAAGGACATTGAACCTGTAATTCATGATCCTCGAGAAACTAAATAAGGTGAACTCAAAGAAAAACATACTGTATCCTCTTGGATATTGGAAGTAGATAAGATTGCCAGGCAAAAATTGGGAGATTGGGGGTGGGGGTGGGGTAGGAGTAAGGGGAGAGGGGGGGAGAGAAGGGAGAAGGGGAGAATGGGACGAGCTTGGGGGAATGGGGTGGTTGGGATGGAGGAATGGTAGATATGGGAGCAGGGAAGTAGATATCTTTAAGTAAGGGAGCTATTTTAGGGTTGGCAAGAGACTTGACTCTAGAGGTGTTCCCAGGTGTCCAAGGATATGTCCCCAGCTTGTTCCTTGGACTGCTGAGGAGTGGGTGCCTGAACTGGCCCTATCCTATAGTCACACTGATGAATATCTTGCATATCACCATAGAACCTTCACCTGGCAATGGATGGAGATAGAGACAGAGACCCACACTGTAGCACTGGACTGAGCTCCCAAGGTCCAAATGAGGAGCAGAAGGAGGGGGAACATGAGCAAGGAAGTCAGGACTGCAAGGGGTGAGCCCACCCACTGAGACAGTGGGACTGATCTACTAGGATCTCACCAAGGCCAGCTGGACTGGGACTGATGGAGCATGTGATCAAACCGGACTCTCTGAACATGGCTGACAATGAGAGCTGACTGAGAAGTCAAGGACAATGGCATTGGGTTTTGATTCTACTGCATGGATTGGCTTTGTGGGAGCCTAGTCTGTTTGGAAGCTCACCTTCCTAGACCTGGATGGAGGAGGGAGGACCTTGGACTTCCCACAGGGCAGGGAACCCTTACTGCCCTTGGATTGGAGAGTGAGGGGGAGGGGGAATGGAGGAAGTGGGAGTAGGGGGTAGGGGGAGTAGGGGGAGGGGAAGTGAAATGGGAGGAGGTAGGGATTTTTAATAAAAATAAAAAATTTTCTGAAAAAAAAATAATGGCCAGACTTTTTTCTGAAAAAAAAATAATGGCCAGACTTTTTTCTTAGGCAACTTTACCATTGTACATTCCAAATTTGATGATTTTAATATGTGTAACACAGTGTATTTAGAGATACAAAATCATCATGGTTACAATATTCATTTTTATAATGATTAATGACATTGATCACATTGTCATGTCTTTATGTCCTATTCAGGTGTCCTCTCTGATGACATGTATTCATGATTTGTCTTTTTACATTTATTTAAATGAATAACCATTACATCTTTACTAGACCATCTCTACCTCTAACATTTCAGAAGTTTAGAGACTTAGAGTATTCTTACATTAATTGCAAGAAAAAGGAAAGAAGTTCCTTTGAGATCACAACTATGAAGTCATATGGTTATACAAATCCGGCTGCATTGGTGTGCGAAACATGAAACACATTTACTTTTCTTGTCAGTCACCTAGCAAGACTTAACAGACACCTTTCTAAGAAACAGACGGGATGTGTTTCTGTAACTTCAATAACCTCGGCACTACAGTAACAAGAGATGCAGTATCCTTTTGCTATGGTTCCAGACAGCCCGGAAAGAGGTCACAGGAAAGAGAATCAAAACTGATAAGAGCTGAAAAACTACTTCTTGTGAAGTTTCAGCATGGTGCCACCTTCATTTTTACATAAGCATGGTGGCATAGTTCAAAGCTCAATAAATCAGAAATATTAATATTTAAATTTCAACTTGAATTTCAATTATTACCATATTAACAACCAAAACAGTAAGATAAGACACACAAGGAAGAGGATATCAAATCCACTCTGCTTGCGCTGGTTTCCTGACACATTAGCTCATTTGTAATAGAAAAGGGACAGTGCATCTCAGTTCGCTTACAAGCTAGGAGATCACTTTGAATTCTGCATTTCCTAACTGCAAACAGAATATAGCACTTACAACAGGTTATAAATAAACTGGTTTTCAAGCATAGAGCCAGCCCCAACGATAATAATACACTATTTAAAAAGACCCAAGGCAATGAATTCCATTTCCAATGGAAAAAAAGAACTGTGCAAACAAGCTTAAAACTACTTTTTTGTGTCAGTGTTATAAAATGTAGCTTTTAATAAAACCTTGACCCAAATGCCAATAACTCTTCATAAAAGAATTTGGGTGGAAGGGAGAACAAACTTATCTCATTTAGGAAAAATAACAGCTATCTTTTTCCTAATCTTCAACACACACAATTTAAACATGTACAATTGCTGTTACACTTTACACAATTCCTATGTAGTGGAGCAAGAACAAGGTCTAATAACATTTATAAACACTGGGTCAAGGCTTTACATAAAAATACGATCCATCCTACTTTCCCCCGTAAGTTTCTAAAATATCACATACTTTCCTCAACATCTGCAGCCATCCAAGAATTTTTAGGTAACTTTTGTGCATGATCTTAATTCCTAATCCCTGGCTCTTTGGGCTCAGTGACAAAAAATCAAAACCACCAAAAGTGATGGTTCACTTAAAGTGAGACGAGAGACCCTGGCTCAATTAGTCTCATAGGATGAAAGCAGTGCTGCATCAACTGACTCCATGCAGGAGGGGCACGTGAAGGATCTCATCAACCAGTCATCTATACAGTTCAGGTGATAGATGTGCATGCACGGCAGAAATCGAATTGGGTCCCCATAAACAAAGTCCATCATACAGATCACACACTCTCGGATCTTTTTTTCTGATCCGTCTCTTCCAGGGTCATAAACTCCTTTAGGCAGATGCTGTATAAGGCCTATTCTTTGAGCTATTCTAATTTGTTCCTCTTTAGTCAGTTGAGTTGCTAGCCGAGTCTGGCTAGGTGTTGAATGATAGACAGGAACGGGAACTTGTTCCTGATATGGCGGCGGCGGCTCCGGATCTGGCTCCCTCCCCTCGCCAAAGCTAGCCAGGTCCGACTGAGACTCGTGAAGCAGGGAGACGTCATCCGAGGTCGGGGATTTGAGGCAGTTCCCCATCTTCCGGGGCTGGGGTGTGTGCGTGAGATCTGGGGGAGGAAGAAAGCTAGGACCCGGTCTCTCGCACACTCAGCGGCAGGCCAGGGGGCTCAGGCGGCGGCTCCCCCGCGCCCTGGCGCCGTCGAGGGGCCGCTCATGCCAGCCCACGGGGCAGGGAGCGCGAGGCTAGGCCGCGGGCTGCGCCGGGGTCCTGCCTGGAGCCTGAGGGGGGCGGGGGCGGGTAGAAGGAGCGCTTCCCCCACCCCGCCCCCCGCGGGGGGGCGGCGGCCAGGGGGCTGCTGGGCCTAATCCAGGTCAGGAGGGGGGGGGGCGTGACCGTCGCGGCTGCCTCAGCTGCTGCTTCAGCTGCTGTTGCCCCTGCCAACGCTGGAGCCAAGGCCCAGGCCTCATCCTAATCCGCCTTAGGGCGGCGGCGGCCGTCTTTTTACATTTTTGACAAGTCTGTTTTAGAAAGTTGAGGAAGATGCCTTGAATTTGTAATCATAAATGGCTATGAATTTCTCAAAAAATTTTTACTGTGTCATTGAAATTATTTTGGTATTCTTCTCTTACAATGACAAAGACTGCATAAATTTAGTTTTTAATATTGTGTCAGTAAAATCTTCCAACAATACTCTTCACTTTTTCTGCATTGTTTTGTTTATGGATTAAATTTGCTATTGTTTGTTGACTGTGCCTATTTTCATGTTATGTATCATTCTATAGTTTCTATTAGTGTACTTTTTCTCATGTGCAAAGTCGTGCTAGATTTGAAAAGAACTTAAAATATTTCTCCTTTTTATGGAAGACACTGTATAAAATTGGCATGATTTCTTCAAGTATTTCACAAAACTGAACAGTGAAATAATTAGTGTTGCAGTATTTTATTTCCAAAAAATTTAAACTACAATTTCAAATTACTTAATAATTAAACTACTATCAAATTATACGTTTCTTCTTTGTTTAGTTGTTTTAGTTTGTTGAATTATTCATCATAATTTCCAAATATCTGTGTGAACAGAGACTATGCTTTTATTTCTCAGTTGCCCAGACCCTAATAATCACACAGAAACTATATCAATTACAACACTGTTTGACCAATGGCTTAGATATATTCGTAGCTAGCTCTTACATCCTATATTAACCCTTTTCGATTAATCTATATATCATCATGAGGCTGTGACTTACCAGAAATATTCTGCCACCTTTCTCCTTCAGTGACCATATGATGTCTCCTCGACTCTACCTACTCTATCTATCTATCTATCTATCTATCTATCAATCTATCTATCTATCAATCTTTGTTTGGATTTCCCCACCTACCTTTACTGTGTTAATTCATTGGCCAAAACAGCTTTATTCATCTTATTCATCAACCAATAAAAGAAACACATATACAGAAGTACATCCCACACCATATCTGTTCTATTACATACTGGAAGAGATGTGTTGAGGTTCCCATTCATAATTGTGTAATTTTCTATTTCAACTTTCTATTACTCATGAATTTTTATCACATATTTTGAACCTCTGTTGTCTATTGAAGAGATATTGAACACATGTTGACAATAGTCTCACTTCCTGGAGAAGTCTTTTTAAAATTATGTAATCATTCCCTTTGTCTATAGAATTTTTTTACATAAAATATAACTTATTTAGTATTAATGTAAAATTAGAGATTTATTTATCATGCTCTCTTATTTACTTTTTGTTTTTATTAATTTTTAAGTTAACACACAAAATAATTGGTTTTATTACAATATTTTTATACATATATATCAGTATATTGTATTCCTATTCATCTCCTCTTTTCCTGCTTTCTTTTATTTTCCCTTATCTCTTCCTTGTTGTTCCCACTATTTCCCATTCCTACAAATTATATTTTAAGCAAATTTCCAGTAAGCAGAATACAGGTAGGCAAAAATTGTTGTTTTATCCACTTTGAAAATGTCTTTCAAAATGGAAAACTCAGATGCTGAAAGAACTTTTACACACTTTTTCAGTAAGCAGAGCATCAGAAGTATACTATGTGAGAACCGAAGCCTCATCTAAACTGATTCCCGCCTCCACATGAAAGAAAGCCTGAGATTTTGTTTCTATGATATGATATCATTGTGTGTGTGTGTGTACTATATTTTTAACCCATTCATCTGTTGTTGGACACGACTTGAGACTCAATCTCATATAACTTAGAATGGCTTCCAGAAAGAAAGTCAAAAAACATCAAGTGTTGCTAAAAATGTTGGGTTGGTGTTACATAAGAATCTCTATATACTGCCGATGGGACTTCTAGTGTAGCCACAATGGATATCAATATATAGGTCACTCAACAGACTAAAATAGAACTACTATATATTACAGCTACATCACCCCATGTATATATTTCTAGATGAATCGAAGACCTCATACAATAGATACAACTGCATACCCAGGTTTCTTGCTGCACATTCATAATAGCTAGTTCATAGATAGTTCATAGTTCATTTTGGGGTAATAATAATAATGACTCATTTAGTTATCGTCTATATATTTTATATGCTTTTTGATGAATTATTTCCTGATAGATATTTTTATTGTATTCTGTATGCAGTCTCTTCATCATATTGATTATTCCCTTTGTCATCTAGATAAGTATTAGTTCAATTTAATGACATTTGGTTGTTGGTTTTATTACTGACATTAATATCTTTTAAAAAATATTTATTTATTTATTTATCATGTATAGTGTTCTGCATGCATGCATTCCTGCAGGTCAGGAAAGGGCACCAGATCTCGTTATAGATGGTTGTGAGTCACCATGTAATTGCTGAGAATTGTACTCAAGACCCCTGGAAGAACAGCCAGTGCTCTTAACCATCTTTTCAGCCCTTATATTAATATCTTAAAATGTTTCCTTTGTGTATTCTTTGAGTATTTCCTACTTCATCAGAGAAACATCTTCAATGAGCAAAAATCCATTACTGGACAAAATGCCAATAATAATCGATGGTGGAGTGTTTAGCTTACATCATCTCCTCCAATGATCAGGGAACATACATAAAGGAGAATGAAAATAGATAAGTGAGAGGGTGGGAATATATGTAGCAAAACACTGTCTTCTAAATACCAGAAAACCATTGCACTCATTAACTCACTTGTGGTTATCTCCACAAGACCTATATAAAACCAGCTGCAATAATATTTCTTCATGGATGGAAAAGGGAAAAAGATGCCTCCACCTCTCCCTGACAGTTAACTATTGGTAGTTTAACTGTTGTTGTGGAAGGGATTATCATTTTCTTTAGTGTTGTAGCCACTGGTATAAGATCCTTGCCTTATTAAATTGCCTCCCATCCATGAAAATGTAATTAAACTTGGTTGGCTGCAAATAGAAATAATTCATGAAAGTAGCTGGGGCACTTGAGAAGAAGGGTTCTCATCAGACTGACAGTTCCATTATTTCCAAGGAAAATAATTGGGCTGACCAAACAACCAGAACAGCAGCATTCTAGAGCCCAAACCCACCCCAGTCACCTCAGGGGGTTCATACAGTACAGCCCACATTCTCACAAACACCCCCTGATACCTGGCAAATTCTGTCCTACCTACATCAGCTCTTTCATTTTAGTAGCAAAGATCTATTTCATTTTGTTAAGACTTACCTCTAACCGGACTTAGAGTTCTTAAAAGCTATCACTGCCTCTTGTAAAATCTGTCAAAAGTCAGATCCCAAGAGCAAATATCGTAGCTTCCCTTTTCCCACTCACCACCAGACCAGGGGCTCCCTTCCAGAAACTGGCAGCTGGATTTTACTCATATACCCACAGTCAGAAGAGTTAATTATCTCCTGGTTTTGGTGGACAGCATTTCTGGGTGGATTGAAGCATTTCCCACTACTAACAAGAGGGCCCAGACACTTCCGAATGTTCTTCTCTGAGAAATTATTCCCCTGTTTGGAATCCCAACCTCTCTTCAGTCTGATAATGACCCAGAGTTTACTTACCAGATTTCTCAAACTTTGTCTAAGGCTCTTAACATTCCCTGACATTTTCATATCCCATACCATGCTCAGTCTTCAGGGAAGGTAGAACAAACTAACCGCTCCTTAAAAAGTGTTCTTGTTAATATGTTACAGGAGCTTCACCTCGACTGGGTAAAACTTTTGCCTCTGGCCCTTTTTAGGCTTAGGGCTCTCCCCAAAAGCCCCCTTCCCATCTTGCCCTTTAAACTCATGTATGGGCGGCCAGTTTTAACCCCTGGCCTCTCCCCTTCCTGATCACCTGCTTACTCTGCTGTTATCCCATCTTCATTCCCTATTATGGGATTATACCAACTATGTATTACTTCAACCATGTGCCAATTCATTACCACTGCTGATTAAAATAGGGGATCAGGTACTACTCTCTCCACAAGACCAATGCCCCTCACCCCTTTCCCTTAAATGGCAGGGTCCCTTTAAAGTAAGTCTTGTAACTCTCACAGCTGCCAAGCTCGAGGGACTTCCTCATTGGATTCACCGGTCCAACCTTAAACCTTTTACTCTTCCAGTTCAAGGTACTCCCTCATATACGGTAACTCAAACAGGGCCCTGCTCCCTTAAGTTCCAGAGGGCACCAAGATCAGCTACTCCTTCTCTAGTTTCAGAAAAATAAAAGTCTCATCACCCTACTCAACTCTCCTGTGCCAAAACTCCATATACTCTCCCTCTTCCTCTTTCTCTTATCTCTTTAACCAACTTCTCTATATCTGCAATGTCATGCTGAAATTTCCAGTTAACTACTCGGATGTTATTACGGGGACCATCATTAAACACAGAGCTGGAGGTACAAGGACTGCCAAAAATCCAGGTGGTAAGAAACAATAATGAGTTTGGAGCTGACATTCACAACTCCAAACTCCCCAAACTCCCAAAACAGACTTTAACATAATAGGTTTATGTAAAACCTATTAACTTAAGGTAATACCATAATGCTAAAGAGAACAAGTGCCTTAAGATTTGCTTCAGATAAAACATTAAGGAATCTAATAATTCCCCTTTCCAATAATTCCCCCTTCCTTTCTTCCCTTCTCCCCACTGTCTAACATT